GCCACTCCAGCGGCCTGTCCCCCGCTGCGGCTTGCCTCGCGCAGGCACCCGAGCAATCTGCTTATTCCCGAAGGGTACGGAGGGATACGAGGCCAGGGCCTAGGGGACAATCTAGGGTCAGCGACAACCCAGAGTGTCACTGCAGGAGGTTCCTTCAGCCCTGGGTGTCTTGGTTTGGGACAATCCAACTCCTACCCCAGTGGTTGGGGGGATAACAAGTGGGGCGATCCGAGGTCCTGTCACAAATGGCTGTGCAGATCCGAGACTGCTGCTCTACAGAAGCTGTCCACACAGGAGGGAGTGACCCCTCAGCTGACCTGGCGACCGGGCTGCTTAGCATGGAGATGTGGCCGCGGGGGGCGGGGTGGGGCGGAGCGACTTCCTGCGGCACAGGTGGGAGGTGGGCGAGTCCTGCCTAGCATGCCAGGCTCTCCTCCCGCCTCTGTCCCTCCCCAACACACAGCGGTCCCCCTCTTCCCTTTTGTTTTCTTTTTCTCACAATCTCTTTTTTGAATTTTCTATCTTAACTTTATTTATTTTAATTTGACCGAGAGAGAGAAGGCAAGCCACCAGGTCTGGGACTCAAACCATGGTCAGCCATGTGGGAGTCCAGCACCCTTAACCACCCCGCCACCTGCTGGTCTCTCCTTTTTCTCACAATTTTGCAAGAGGAACCAGCAGGTGGCGTGGTGGTTAAGATGCTGGACTCCCACATGGCCGCCCGCAGTGCAGTCCCAAACCAGGCGGCTTGAAAACCACACTAGCTGTATGTGTGTGCATGCCTAAAACTCCCAGGAGATTGGAGAAGGGACAGCAGGGTGGCCATCCACGGTGGGTGATTTCTCACGTTCTCTCTCATTTCCTCCCTGTCTCTCTCTGGAAACCGCATGTGCCCTATGGCAAAAAGCTAAAAGAATTTTTTTTGCAAGAGGGTGCATGTGCTCACAGGAGAGCGATGGACAGAGAACAGAAAGTGAAAAAGTACCTCCAAGGGTAACGGTTATGCTGTAATTCCTTCCCCTCCATTTCTCCCTCCTTTCAGGATGTCACGCACACACACAGTGTGTTTTTCGAGCTGCTGGGTCCAGGACTCCAACTGCAGTAGGCCACGTGGTATCCAGATGCCGTAACTGCCACACTATTGGCTGGCCCCTTTCTCCCTCCCCTAACAATGGCCAGTCAGAAATTACCAGGGCATGCGTGCCCTCCACCTCGGCCCTGCTCCTACGCTCCACGCTGCCTGCTTCCTGAGCGTGGGCTGCAGCTAGACGCCCCGAGTGCTCAGCACTTGCTCCACAAGGTGCACACAGAAGCCCAGGAAAGGAGCCTGCCAGAGACGCCAGCCACCTTCCAAGCCCGCTGTCCAAGGCTCCCAAGGCGGGTCTGACAGTCTCGAGGTTTCCACCGCCCTCTCCCACTTGGTTCTAACAGGGAGTTCGGGGCGACACGATCTCTCACATGTCGGGCCAGAGGGAGCAGCTCCTCCGGAGACGCACCGTCCAGAGGGTCGTCATGCGGCGACTGTGACTATTTAAAGCTAAGTGAGGTGTCCTATCGGCCATGTTTCAAGGGCCCCAAAGCCACACGTGGCTAGCAGCCACGGCCCAGCCTGAGCAGATCTTACTGGCCATCCCTGCACAGTCCAGCTGGTGCTGCTCTAGTCAGTTCCGGGCAGAACCCAGAACCTCTGCGGGACTTGTAACTGACAGACCTTGGCTCTAGGGGCTGATGAGCCAGCCAGCGTCCCTCCGTCTCAGGGCATCAAGGGACAGCCCAGCTCAGATCAAGGCTCAGCAGAGCCGTCAGCTGGGCCAGTTGTTCTGCCAAGCCAGTCACCTTCAGAGAGCCTCCGTCTGGCTGCTGAGGAAGGGGGAGGTCAAAGGAGGACAACGTGGCCTCATGCTGGCCTGCCGGACAGCACCGGACAGACGCCACAGAGGCTCATCCGCACAGCCTTGAACTGTTCACTTCTGGCTGGACATCAAGAAAAGAGGTTCAAATACAACACTAAAGTGTGCCCGGGCTGGCTGCCCGCCCAGCTGGGACCTGGCTCCTTCCAGTCCATACCCTGTCCCCACTCGCTGCCAAATACCTGCTGTCAAATGCTCTGGAACACCCCCATTGTCACCTCTGTGGCCCTGAATGTTCCCGCCTCTGAACTGCTCAGGTTAAACACGGTTCGAGTCCCTGTCCCGGTGGTTCGACACTCTCCTTTCCAGCTACCTCAGCACCCCTCTCCACCCCCCACTCCATGCTGCAGCCTGAAGCCTCCCCAGACCCCACTGGCTCTCCCAGGAAAGGAATCCCAGCAGTAGGTTTAGGTCCGATGAAGTGTCTCCACCTGCCAACCGCGGCAGCCTGACCCCCAGGACACTGCTTCGGGAGGCTGTGTCTTCCCTGTACAGACACCCCCTTCCCCAGGGGTCTCGCACAGGCTGGAATCTCTCCTGCCCCCAACCTCCTGCCTTGCCCCGTATGTGTGTGAGGGGACTGCCCAAGGAGTGTGGTGAAGCTACAGAGCGTGACTACGATGGAGCGGCACGCTGACCACTGCCCGGGACGCTGCACCCCGGCTTGTCTCTCCAGCTGCCGTAGTCTCAGGACTGTGACTTGTCCACGGTATCACCAACGCACGAACTGACCGTCAACTGGGAAGGAAGAGAAAACCAAACCCAGGCCTGAAATCCAGAGGCCTCCAGCAAAACCACGCAGGAAGAACTCACGGAGGGACCTGAGACTGAGTGCTGGGGGCCAGCAAGGGGCCACCGTGTGGGCACTGTCCTCGGGAGGTGACAACTTACAAAGTGCTTAACCCTGGAGTTTTGTCTGTCAGAGAACTGAAAAGTGTGGAGCCACCTCCCCCCCAAAGGAACAGACTCCTGAGGGGGCTTTTCCGAGGGCAGCAGACAGTCCACGCCTCCTCCCCAGAAACAACTGTAGACTGGAAAAGTCATTCCAAGGCTTTTTTTTTTTTAAATTTTGCTATAGGGGCGTGTGTGCCTGCCAGAGAAAGAGAGAGAGAGTGAGAGCGAGAGAGCGCGTGCGAGAGAGAGAGCAATTCCCCGAGGGCACGGCCATGCCATAATCCCATCTCAATTTCTCCTTGGGGGATTTCGGGCATGTACGCACCAGCCCAGCGTGTTTTTCACGCTGCTGGGTCAGGGACTTGATCACACTGTAGGATCCAGCTGCCTTAACCACCATGTCACCTAGCTGAAAATCGCTCTTTAAAAGTCAGCACTCAGGCAGGTCCTGTAGCTGATGGTTAAGAGAGCTGGATCCCATATGGTCAACCACAGTTCAAATCCCTGTCCCGGTGGCTTGAAAAACACACTGGGCCTACATGCAGGTGCACCCAAAATCCTGAGAGGATAGAGAAATGGAAGAAAAGGGATTGGGGCAGGACCACACCCCACTGAAGAGTGCTTGCTCCATCTCCCTATCTCTCTCCCTCTCTCCCTCTCTCTCTCACACTGTCTTTCTCTGGGGAGCACACATGCTCTGTGGCAATTAAAAAACAAAGCCAGCTCTCCTGATGGCCTGACACACCCTTCCCCAGGCGATGTGCTATGAGAACGCTATCCTGCCCCTTGTGTTCTGACCTCAAACCCAGCCCCACCAATCTGGGCCCTAAATCCAAGCAAACAACTCAAGCAGACAAGCCAAGGTCTGAAAGGCTGAGGCTTAGGATTCCCTGGGCCAGGCGGTTTGGAAGATAACGGACGGGTCTGAAAGGCTGCCCGCAAAAGCAGAAGCCAATCTGCCTTACTCTATTACTTCCGCTTTCCCGCTCCCGCAGCCTACCAGACAGGCAGAGAGGGAAACAGGGACCACGTTGTTCAGCCTTTTGTCCAAAAGTTGCAAAGTGGGTTTCCTATTTCCTCCACCTCTGGCAGGTACAGGTATTTAATATTTGTATACCGAAGAGAGGAGGATACAGTTTTCACCCATCCAACAACATAACCAACCATTTCAGCCCTCCGTGGTCCCTAGGGCCCTGATCCGGCACTGACAGGGTGAAGAAACCGTGCTCAGGAAGATGAAGCAATCTGTCCTAACCCCACAGCCGCCAGGGCTAGAGTTTTCAGGCTCCCAGTGAACTTCTGAGTTCTCCTTCCTTCCCAGTGCGTCAGAAAGATGAAAAGTTAGGGACCAGCAGTTGGCATAATGGCTATGTCGCTGGACTCCCACGTAGTTGACCGCGGTTCGCATCCCGGACCCGGTGGCTTAAACTCACGCCAGGCACGTGTGCGTGCATACCCAAGATCCTGAGAGGAGAATGGAGAAGGGATTGTGGCGTGGCCATCCCCCCTGGGGGGTGATTTCTCGCTTTCTATCTCTCTGTCTGGCGAGTGCACACGCCCTATAGCAAAAACCTCTCCAAAAAAGAAAAAAAATAGAAATAGAATGCCCATTAGAGTGTCAAACACAAGCAAGGGAAAGCGCTTCCGAATTTGACGACTAACAGGACTAGTGAGGTCCATTCCCGAAGCAGCAGCCTAGGAAAGTGCTAAGCGCCCTCCTCTCTTCCCCTGACTTAAACATGGATCTTCGGGGTTTGCAGAGTCCAGACTCTGGACTGAGTGCCCAGCGCGGTCAGTGACTGCCCTGACCAAGGCGTGCTGCAACACAGAGGGTCTGCCAGACTCAGGAAATCTATGGTAGGGAGGAAAAGCCCGGCCTGGCCACGGAGAAACGGAACAAACCACGCTGAACCCAACAAACGCCCGAAACTATTAATAGAACTGGCCTGGACTTCTACAGTAGTAACCCACAAGCTCGAGCCAAGGGCCGCCGCCCCGCCCCCGGCCTCCGCGCACCAGTGCAAGTCCAGGTATCACCCCCGCGGCGTGGGCGGGCGAAGTCTCCTCGCGCATGCGCTAGCCGCCCGCGCATGCGCAACGCCCACGCCAGTCTTTCACCAGTCTCCCTCCTTCCCGCCGGCTCGGAACTCCAAACGCTGGCTGCTTCGGCTGCAGCTCTCGCTCCGCACTTCTCACCTTGCGCCCTGTTTTCTCCCGCAGGGCCTTTAGTCGTTCCTTTCGACGCAGGGCCTCCTCCTCTAGCCTGCCCACACCGGCCGCAGCCGCCGCCATCTTGCCCCTCCTTTTCTCTCGGCCTGCATCGCGCAGGCCCAAAGTAAGTGGATGAGTGTCTCTCCCGCCAATCCAAGGAAGAGAATGGGAGAGCCGGAAGTCCCGACAGCCAATCAGTGCTGAGTTGCTTAAGAGGACCCGCCCTTTTCTGCCCCAGCAACCCGCCAAGCTGCTGAGGAGCCCGCAAAAAAGAAAAAAAACTGGTGCTAAGGCTCGACTTGTCCAACGCTAATCAGTGAGAAAGCAGCAAGTGAGTGGAATCAGACCTGAGAGACGGAGAACAGAGTGCGTCGATCGCTCTGGTTTCCCTAAGCACTAACCCCAGCTCACTCCTTGCTGGCCCTAGGCGATGCTCTGACCTTATCCTGAGTCTTTGAGGCTCTGTCTCTTCCCGACTCTCCTCCACTCCGATCTTACTCTAATATGACGCCGCCACAGCCGTCAGTGGTGCCCTGCACTCCACAGACCAAGTGCCCCAAGTCCCTCCGTGTCCCCTCTCCACTCAGACCGAGCCGCGCAGTGTGGGACCCAGTCACCAGGGTCACGCTACTTTCCTTGGAGAAAAGCAAACTTCTAGCTCGTGAAGAGTTGATGTGGTCCCCACTGCAACAAGTGGCCAGAGGCGCTGCTAGAGTCTTCTTTCCTGATGACAGCATGCGGGATCCCCAAAGCCATGACCCCCAACCTAGGCATAGAAAGCTAGGCCTCCCCCCCTCCCTCCAGGGGAGGGAGCTTCTTAGCAAGGCTGTTTCCTACCTGGGGCCTCCCTTCCAGGGTTGGCAGCAGGTGGACGCCCATTCCTTTCTTCCCGACTCTCTCCAGAGCCCCCCTCAACAACGTGGGCTTCCAGAACCTCTCCCCCATAGTGGGTGGGATGCCCTGCCAGAGCCTGCCACAAGGTTGTAGGTGTGCAGCAAATGTCTGCTCAGCAGTAGTAAGGATGAGACAGGAAAAAAAGCCAGACCAAGAAGCCAGGAGGACAGAACAGGACGCCATGGGGACAGGGTCTCCTGCTCTTCCTCACTCAGCGTCTAGGGATCTCCAAACTGGTCTACTCCTAGGACCACAGCGCCTCTCTGGGACCCCACAGCCCGAGCGACAAAGAGCCCGACCCCTGCTCCTCAGGGGACCCACAACTCATAGGCAGGCTAGACACAGGGAAAGGGGCACCGCAGAGATGGCGGTAGTAGCCCCCCCCCCTGCAGGGCCAATCAGGCCTAGGTCCCCATCCCTGCTGCCCTGACTTCCCAGTGGTCCTCATTTGGCATGTCTGGGCCTCAGTTTCTCCATCTGTAAAACAAAGGCACCAGGCGTCCACCCTTTTAGGTCAAAGAAACAAAAGATGTGAAACATCCGGCTGGACCCTGGAGGGGAGGTCGCCTTCACGGAGCATCTGGGAAGGCTTCCTGGAAAGGGAACCCGTGGGAATTGTCTGGCCATCCCTGGGATCTGCCCGAGGTCAGAGGACGCTGCTCTCAGGAGGTAATTCAGGCTTGTACAGCTATTCTCAGGCTCCCCACCCGCCACCCCGCTCCGCGGGCGAGCAAGGCGCGTTTGGGTCAGTAGTGCTGAGAACAGCACCTGGTGCGCGGGAAGTGCTACAGGTGGTGGCCACAGCGGTGCTTGTTACTACTTATGGAGGGGCCCCGGCCACGCCCATGCGTGCTGCTCGCTTCCAGAGGGGCAGCAATTCCAGAGGCGGGCCGCGTCCGGGGCGGATCCAGACCCAGGACAAATCTGGAATCCCCGACCCCCAACCTGGTCAGATGGCTCGGACTGGCCTCTCCAACGGCACTGGTGGGGGCGCGGCCCGGCGGGGGGGGGG